GCAGGAAATTGGAAATGTCATGCAATGAAAAGTTACATCAAACTAACAACTCTCTCCCGTGGCACAATGTGAAACAGAGTGCTCTTAGTCACATACACTAATCTCAGCATTTTTTCTGTCACTGGAAGTATCAGCCTCCATTCAGTTTGTGTAGCCTCATAGCTTTTAATCTTGCATTTCCTTTTTCACACCACCATGATTCACCAACCTTTGTTTTTCCTATGGCTCATTTCTGCACTCTGCCCTTCCATCTAAAAAAAAGCAGTATCTTCATAAGTCAAAATTTTGTACTGACTCTATGGTAAAGGTGGAATCACGCCGAGGTCGCTAGTTTTCTGAAATAGGGTGCAGTGGTAAACTCAAGTCTAAACTCCAGGTGAAGGCGCATAAGTGTGTCCGGCACCACATTTAAATTATGTTTTCTTCTTTTGGCACTGGTTAAAATCTCATATAACACCTGCAGCCTGTACAAGATAGGGATTAGGAAAAGGTTTCTGGCACTGCAGAGTAGACTGCAAAAAGGTCAGAGTACCAAATGTCGTTTTTTTGTTTTGTTTTGTTTTGTTTTGCATTTGGGGTCTATTCTGATTTATGGCGAGGCTTATTTGATGACCACTATATTCACTGACACCACTGTATATCATTTTGTGACAATTAGAGCTTAATATTTTGCTAAGTAAAGTCACAGACACTTAGATTTACAGTCCCTCACATTGAATCTATAATAATATATGCTCATATAATACAGTATTTAACAAAATATGCAAAGTGGAAAAATACTGTATATTAAAATTAAATATTGTAATACTGTACATTATAAAATCTTAATTTATTTGCATTAAGTCTTGTAATGTTCAGAGCTTCTGTTTATGAATTGGATAGTTCTTCACCATCCCTGTGTGTCTCGAGTACAGATAATTAGGCCACTAAAATACTTGTCATTATTAAAGATGAACTAACAATATTTTTCTATTAACAACACTTACGTTACATGTTAGAAAACTTTCAAAAAGTTTGGGATGTTGAATGAGTATATGTAAATTGCTAGAGCAGATTAATTGCATAGAGACATAATTCAAAGGAGACAGTGTGGCATAAGATGCAGTAACTTAACCCTTTAGTTTCTTTTTTCTGCATTATTTTTACAGTGGACAAGCTATGAGATAAATTACACCACCATTTTCAATTTGAGGTTGCTGTTTCATAGTAAAGTTGAGTCAATATTTATAAGCATGAACAAATCTCCAGAGAGCAAAGGCAAGATTCATCTCTGATGTCATCAAAATGTACAGCCTGGAGCTGCTCCATAGACACTGAATGGGATACTGAATTAATGGGCTCATAAAATGTTTGTTTGAGCTGTTACACCCAAATGAGCTTTTAATTATCGTAGTGCTTTCTGAAGTGAGGCAGAAAATGTGCCCCTGTCTGCATAAAATCATTCTAGTTACTGCCAGCACCACAGTCAGCATTTTCATCTCCTCCGGTTCACTCTCTGTTGAGGTACACATCTGTGTAAGATCACTGATTAAAGGCAAGTAATTAACTTTTTCCGCTCTGGGAAATGGTAATAAACATTAAGTAAGACATTGTTTTATCCTGTATATTCATGTTCATCTTCATTTCACCTTCTGATGCTTTAAGCGTCCAATAAGATTTATTCTGTCCTCCTTGTCTCTCTATTTTTATTTACATTATTATTATTATTATTATTATTATTATTATTATCATCATTTAGCTGTAGCTACTGCTGTTATTATATGTTTCCTTTGAGGGACAA